GCCACGTCTTGCAAATCTGAGCTTAGTAGTTGCTATTCATTTGCATAATTAATTTTTTCCCTCTCACGTTCAATTTTCCTTTTATATACTTCACAATTTTTGTCAAATGGTCCATGATTAATAGGTAATCCTAGATTAAAATCCTGATTTGCACTTTTACAATTTGGACAGCATTTGTACATTTCACTGGTACTACAGTTTTCTGTTGAATGTCCTTCTAATCCACAAGTAATACATCTTCCTGATTTTGTGCATTATTTAGCTGTGTGGTTAAATACGGTACATTTATAGCATCGCAAAACATTGATGTACTCGAAAACTCGTCTAAATATTTCCCTTCGACATGGAGATGATTGCCATTGCAGAAATATAGGAACCTTACACAACCTCGTATCGGAATATCCAAATTCTAATAGAGAGAATACTGAATTGTGTCAAAATTTAGCGGAACACTTACCTTTGCCTCTAAATTTAGCTCAATATTATTCAGTTCTGAGAACCTGTTTGGAAAAATTAACGAAAACAAGAATATAATGTAAAAAAAAATCAGTATAAAGTAAAAAATTAGGAAAAAACAAGAAAGATTGATATTCAAATCAAGTTGGGTACTTTATTTTGAAGGATCATTTATACCATTTATGTATGAAAAATAATATCACTCAAATGTTCACCACGACTGGATTTACAGACGTCCACGCGATGGTCGAAATGTTCAATGACATTTTGCAACATGGTCAGTTCTATGGCATTTATCTCGGCAATGATGTTGTTTTTGAGTTCTTGGAGGGTGGCTGGTTTGTTGACGTAGACTTTGCTTTTCAAATATCCTCATAAAAAGAAGTCCAAGGGAGTCAAATCGCACGATCTTGGTGGCCATGGCACATTTCCTTTGCGCGAAATCACGCGATCACCGAAGAAGGACTGCAATTGATGGATATTGACGTTGGTTGTGTGGCATGTTGCACCGTCTTGCTGGAAATAAACATCGTCCATATCCATTCCTTCAATTTGCGGCAAAAATAGTCCTCTATCATCACGTGATATCGCTCAGAATATACGGTAACGGCTTCCCCGGCCGCATTTTCGAAAAAGTAAGGTCCGATGATGCCTTTTGACTACAATGCACACCACACAGTCACTTTTTGAGGATGCATCGGCTGCTCTTAATACTCACGGGGATTTTCGTTCGCCCAGATGCGGCAGTTTTGCTTGTTTACCGTCCCATTCAAAGTGAAATGCGCTTCGTCGCTGAACATGATTTTTGATGAAAAAGTGGAATCAATTTGGCGGTGTTCAAGGAGCCAATCTGAGAACGTGCGGCGCGAAAAATGGTCGGCCCGACGCAGCTCTTGCGTCAATTGGATCTTGTAGGCGTGTACATTCAAATCCTTGTGGAGAATGCGGAGCAAACTGGTTCTCGAAATGCCCAATTCTTGGGATCGACGCGTTGTTGATTGTTTCGGATCGTCTCTCACACTCTCCTTCACAACAGCAATATCTTCCGGTGTGCGAACGAACGCTGCTTGGCCGGCCAGAGCCTGGCAGATTTGCCACAGAACCTGTTGCCTCGAATTTACGCACCAGACGACCGATGGTTGTTTCGTTTGGGCGGTTGTTGCGACCGAAATGTTCGCGAAGCGCGCGAAACGTGTTTTTTATTTTTGCACCATTTTTGTAGTGCTCTTGAATAACTTTAATCGAATACGACTCCATAGCGATCAATGGTAAACATTCAACTAACAAAATGACATGTCGGTGACAGAAAACAAAGATGGCGTCTATGTCAAATTGACGTTTACCTTTCTGCGTCCCTATTGGACAATCCATTATATCAAAATATGATGACATGGTCATTAATTAAGTTTGAAAAAGGTCGCCGTTGTGGCCGAATTGCCAGTAATTTATACATTTGTGATTTCCCAGAAAAACGTGGAGATCCTTAGTATCCTCACTGCATTTCATTTTTTGTGTATTTGTAGCTTTACAACTCCTTAATCGTCTACTTATTGGAGTTTTTTATAATGCATTGTTTTTTCTTCTCCCCCAAAATATATATATGTCAAAAGCTTTTGCTAAGGAATTTTTGTGGAGTTTGAAAAAATGCACTACCGCATTGGAAGTACTGAATAAATCTACTTGACTGCATGTTATATGAGAACATTTTACCTTGAAAAATTTACCAAGTGCGATATAGTCCAATCCATCTGAACAATTGAAAACAACACACTGCTTCGCCACAGCTTTTGCCAGGTCCTTTGTGGTTTCTGTTTTGCCAGTTCCCGCAGGACCCTCAGGGGCTCCTCCTGTTAAAAAATATCAAATTATTCGTATCTGTACTGTCAAAAAATTGACCATAGACACCGAAATTTGTATACCTTAATTCTATACGAAAAACTGCTGAGTAAGGATACTGATAGCTTTTAAACCATGCGGTACATGTGTACATAAGTTATTATATATTTCATTACCCAAATGTAGGTGCAGAGCTCCAAACAAGGTCCTATAGCACCTATCAGTAAGAGGAGTTACCACCAATCTAGCGGTGTTACCCAGGTACTCATATCCGTATTTTAAGGTGGAGTTAATCATGGATGTAATCAGTTGTTTATCCTACAATTGCGAAGTTGGATTAATCGAAATAAAAATCTGCGGGAAACGGAGGAGTTACCTGCCAATAGTATCGCAACTGACACAGCCATTTGAAATCGTGGACATTACTGACTTCTTGTTCCACTAAACCTTGCAAAACGTCTCTTGCGTGTACGTCAAGTACCACCAACGCAGCTGAAAATTGTCGAAAAAGTTAAAGGTCCATGTACGACTTTCATGCTAACTAGTTCCTTGGCTGTTAAAATTGCTGATCACAATCGATTGCTGACTACGTTTATAATGATGTCAA